ATTTAATTTTGACATTGCATACAATAATGATTAAATTACCCCGAGAGAGGAATCTCAAAATGAACTTAAACGGCTCTGTCAAAACTTAGAATAATATCACTAACAACACAACATAATTAGAGGTGAAACAGGGATTATGAAAACTGAGTATAGTGTAGATATATGGTGTGCTAGGAAATAATGATATCGTTACTGAACTGTTTCAAACGAAACACTAAAAAATGTAATTAACAAATTTTGAAGAAGCTATATTTCGTGTTTCGGACTATGTTTTTTTTAAAGTTAAACAGTTTACAATGTTAATTTCTACAAGGTCGTCTCCCTTTCATTTTTTCAGATTCCAATATACTTAATCACAAATAGAAATTGAACAATTTATTAGGACACTGTATGCACACCTCGAATTAACCGCGGTCTCTGATAAGTTATTTTATTTCTGCCACGTTTGCGATGTTACACCACTATTCATTGGTTAATTACATAGTGTTAATGAGCGATAGACTATGATTTTGCATGTACTATTTTCCAACAGACCATGCACGTGCAAACCTCCCTGTATTGAAAATATAAACAAATAAGTCATGAGACTTGTTAAGTAAGAATGCACACATTTAATTTTTTTGCATAAATTTAACGATTTTGCTTGCAAAAAACAAACAAAATCTTTCTTGTAAACCTTTAAATCTACTTAATTCCTGTTAGGTCTGCGATCAGAACGGTCTGTCGATCATAAAATGAAGATGACTCGAAATTGTGTTTTTACGTTCAACAGATGTTCATTTTATGAGATAACAAGAAATGTCAAACGATTCATTCCTTTGATAGAATGAAACAAGCATTGTATGTACAGCTTGACATCAGCATTAATTGTTTATCGTCCGTTGAATGGAGACACCTAATGTCAACTGAAAATAAATACTATGGGGGTTTAAGACCATATATGGATGACAATTCATCAAATATATAATAGTTCTCTAACATATCTAGACTGACAGGCAAAAAATAAAAACTGCCTACAGAGTCAGAAACGGTATAAAACGGCAGCTTGTTGTGCATCTCGTAACAAATGTTTGTATGCGTAAAGGAACCGCATAATTTAAATATTTGGATTATCTAGATCACCTTGTATAACATACGCCAATGGACACTGAAGACACGTTAACATTACATTTTACATGGTAGAAAAGATATAATGAACATATGTTTGTATACAATGTTAAAGTACAAACTCGGGATTGGAAAATGATAGAAAAATGATAAACTAAAGCCGTATGATAGACCAAACCTGTCTGACCATTGCTATCATCAAATAAATAAATATTATAGGGACATTTTAGCAGTAATTATTATGACATTGTTTGCATTTGGTTTGCTACGGTAATGAGTATGCATTGTCAATGAAGATATCTTATGTTGTTTTCAAATCTAAAAAAATATTTTATGAAATGCTGAAATTACCCGAAGAAATATTATTAAATAGGAAAGTTTCCAACTCTTTATAAAATATTGCTAATATATATATATATATCGACGACGACGACGACGACGACGACGAGTTAGATGATTAAACTAAAAAGGAGAAGTGCCAATTTGGGCCTTCTGGTGGCTATCACCGATACGTTTTATTCTTTGTATATACATACCTTGGGGTTATACCATCATGATATAACATGAAATTAAGGTCAGCTTGGAAACCATCCCGAGATATGAGGGGGTAAAGTGGGGGACCAAAATCACAAATGGTCTCTTTTTGATAAAACTACATATAATTTTTTAAGGTTTCTTCATTATTTTGGTGTATTGCGTAACACTAAAGCTGCAAACATTAAAAATGGCCGAAAAGAGTAGCACATTGTTGATTAGTAGGTCATCGTGACCTTATAATATATTGGCTTAATTATATCAACAATTCTTCCATTTTTTGTATCTTACCAAATTGTATTAATAAGTAGTATCTTAACCAAACCTCAAGAATTTCGGGGGGGGGGGGGGGGG